GACTTTAGTCTTTGCAACTTTACAGATCTTCTTTATGCACCAAGAGCTTGTAACACTCCAAAGAGAAAGGAAAACCTGAAATTGCATTATATGACCCCTTTAAAAAATAATGAAAAGTATCAATATCATGTTGATGAGTAATTCATATGAAAATGGGAATACATAAAAACTACTTATTTTACTCATTTAATTTGAATCTGAATGCCTTACAATTCTACATCCTGTTTGTGGCATCAGTTTAAATCCAGTTAAAATTGCAGGAACTGAATTGTAATTTAAGACTTTCTCTGTTCAGTTCTGAGCCTCTCAACCCTGCTAATGCAATGAGTGGATGAATGTCATCATAACAGATGGATGATAAAGATTGATTACCCTGTTTGTTGTGCACACTTTGTACTGGTGAAAGTGCGTTGATGCATGTAGCAAATAATGGCCTGTGAATTCTGACGTTCAGGCTGGAAGGGGAACCTGTGTCAGCGCTCTCTGGCTCTGTTTGTGAGTGTTGCTGTTCTGGTGCCCTGTGCAGTGCTGAGCGTCTACTACCTGCTGCTGCAGACCTTTGTGTTACGGCTGGAGTTTGTGCTCAATGCTGTGCTGCTCTGCTTCTACAGCTTTGAGCTGCTTCTGGGGCTCATGACCATCTCGGTTTTTTCAAGGTATCTGCTTCTGTATTTTCTGTTTTTCAGCATATTTATCCCATAGTTATAAAGAGACATGCACGTTATGAAAAGACATGAACATGGAATAGACTAAATATATGGAAGTGGAAATTTACAGAAGCAAATTTTGCAACATAATTCTCAAGGTATTAGGCCTTTTTAAAATACTAGATATTTACACTCAGCATTTTTTTCCATTCTCTTTCAGGGCCAACGTTTATTAATTCTATCTGCTTTTTTGACGTCAGAATGAAAACACTGAACTGAATAAGCTTGCACTCTTTCAAAGTGAGCGCTGTCAAGATTTGCCTTTTTTGAAATACATATAAGTTACATAAAACAGACATTTAATTTGTACAGTTTTTCAAACAAATATATTAAGTGCCTTTATTAAGTTGATCTTGAGATGTGTTTTAAATGCTATTTTCAGTGTACACGGAATTTTATAAATAATGCGTTCTTAATAGCACTGTAAATGTATTTATGTAAATAAAGTTTGCCATTACTAAATGGTAGAGTGAAACAATTGTCATCATATACTTACTACACAAACACGCACATACAAATGTTTTTGAAATGTAAAACTGTAATATTGTGAAATATTACAATTTAAAATAATAGTTTTCTATTTTAATATGTTTTAAAATATAATTTATTCCTGTGATCAAAGCTGAATTTTCAGCATCATTACTCCAGTCTTCAGTGTCACATGATCCTTCAGAAATCATTCTAATATGCTGATTTGCGACTAAAGAAACATTTCTGATTATTATCCGATTATTTTTTGATGAATAGAATGTAAAAAACAGCATTCATATGAAATATATATTTTTTGTAACATTACAAAAGTGTTTACAGTCACTTTTGATCAATTTAATGTATGCTTGCTGAATAAAAGTATTAGTTTCTTTCAAAATCATACCAACCACAATCTTTTGAAAGGTGCTTTATGTATTTGCTTTTCACGTACATAATACGGAAAGACAGGAATTTAGGTTTGCAACACTTAATTAGTGACAATTCAGACAAGCAGCAACCTCAATGTTTAAAGTAAAGTTCTTAATTTTCCAGATGTACTAACTGTGTCAACACGTGTTTATGCATACTGTGACTGCTGTCAGGTGAATGTCATAATCCTAATTACTATTGGACACAGGATTATAAGAACACACAGACGCCTCTTTAAAACAATCTCCAGTAATCCCAAGTGTTTCTCACCGTCCTGCTGCCCAGGTGCATAGGACAACACAGAAGCTTTGGGCAACTCTAACCCTATATAGAAAACCCTTTCAAGTGTTACACTTCACTGACAGCTAAAAAAAAATGGCTGCAGTGGACAAGGATGTGGCTGAGAAGTTTTTGGACAGTAATCCAACTTTTGCCAAGCAGTACTATGACTCCAGGTTCCGGGCGAAGGTCATCTCCGACCTTCTAGCGACCACCAAGAAAACAGAAGTGGACATCAGCTCTTACCACGACTTGAGCTCTATTGAAGAGTGCGAGATCATTTTCGATATGGTGCGGGACATGCAGGAAAACCTGCAGATGGAGAGGGCCGTGTTCAACCTCATGCGGCATCTCACTTTCATTATGCGGGCCGACCGCATGAGCCTCTTCATGTACCGCCAGAGGAACGGCATTGCTGAACTGGCCACACGAATCTTCAACGTCCATAAAGATGCCACACTGGAGGAGTGTCTGGTGCCACCGGACAGTGAGATCGTGTACCCGCTGGACACAGGCATTGTGGGCCATGTGGCCACCGCCAAGAAGACCGTCAATGTACCTGATGTCAGACAGGTAGGAGAACTACACTGTAAAAAAAATTCCGTAAAATTTACGGTAAAAAACCGACAGCTGTATGATGAGGAACAGATAGTTCAGCTATCCAGTCCTGTCATGAAAATGAAGTGCAATTCACAATATGACCTGTAGAGAGCAGTGCGACGCTACTCGTATTTGATGATTCAAAGTCATTATAATCAGTCCAAAAAGACACGTGACGATTCAGAATATCATTTTTATAAGCACAAGAGTTGTCTTCTCTGTTTTTATGAATTATATTATAACCAACAGTTCAAATCAAACGGTTTTCTGGCATGAAAAGCAAAGAAATTATTACATAAACATACACACTCTCAGAAAAAAGGTACAAAAGCTGTCATTAGGGCGACACCTTTTCAAAAAGCACGACTTTGTACCTTATTTACCCCTAAAAGATGCATATTAGTACCTTTAAGGTACATATTAGTAGCTCCAGTGTACATATTAAAACCTAAATAGTACATATTAGTACCTTTTGAAAGGATACTGCCTCAGTGACAGCTTTTGTTCCTTTTTTTCCCTGCGCGCTAAAATGGGATTTTATGCTAATTATTACTGCCTATTGCTGATAAACTTGAGAAATGTGCAGGAGATGTTGCACAGACAGATATGTATGACCGTGAAATCCCCCCACCCTCTTTGATTAGAAATTACTAACCATTTTTCAAAGAAACAGTCTCTTTTTTTTTGGCACACAGTGTGCTTCACTGCTTCTCAGACAGCAATATGCTTTTCTCTGTAGTCATAATCACTTTTTTTTTTTTTAAATGGGATTTTTCACTCTTTGCGTTATGTGACCGAAATACCAAGCGGGTCTGTTTGGAACCCTGGAGGTGGCGACAGCTTGCCATCTCAGTTTCAGATGTCTGACAGACTGATGACTGACCACAAACATCCACAAATATACTGTTTGTATTTGCGAGTGTTGCCCGCTTCCTAAACAAAACAAGTGAGCAATTTTGACCATTCTGAGAGTGAGATCTCCTCTCATTGTCTGTGCACGGCACTGGAGCTCTGTTGTTAATATGCAAGACTAGTGCTGCATTAGCGCAGGTCATCGCTCCCCCGCAGTGTGTTCGGTTAAAGTCTTTAATCTGAGTTGAATTAGAGCGATCCTGGATTACATCTAAAGGTCAGTGTCTAACGCCGTGTCCCACAAGTCAGCAGAATATCACTGTTTACATTTTACGCTCCCTTTCTAGTGTTGATGTGCAACAGAATATGAAGAATTTATAATGTTTCAGAGGCACCTGAAATGAGAGAAATTCAATAATATCAGTTATTGAAATATTATCCAGAAATGTATGTCTGATATTGACACAGAGAAAAAAAAAAACTATATTTGGTTACAGTATTAATAATCAACAGGTTTGGTTTAGGGTTAGTTGCATATAATTATGCATAATTTACTGTTGTTATTATTATTATTATAGTAAATATATAGAATGTGCATGAAGGAGCCTAAAATAAAGTGTTGTCAAATGTTTAATTAAAAACATTTAATATTATCATTAGTTAACTACACCAGTTAACATGGACTAGCAATGGTATTTAACATGAACAAAGATTGTTGAATATTGGGTTACACTTTATTTTAAGATGTCCTTGTTACTGTGTGATTATATATTTCAGTACTGTAATATTAATAACATTAGGATTAGGGTTTGGTTTGTGGCTAGTTGCATATAATTGTGCATAACTTGCTGCTATTACTACAGGAAGTGCATATGACATTTAACAAGGACACTGTAAAGTAGTTAATGTTAATGCATATAAATTATTGTATAACGTGTTAATGGTGTTTTACTAGGTATTATAACTCAGCAAAAAAATAATTTTGTGCTCTGGTCATTTTGACCTGGAGAGAATTTTCTTTTCCCCCAAAGTTGCTAGTTAATTTTATTGCATTTGACTAAAATCTTTGTTCACACAGGGTATAACAGCTTCCCCACCTTGACACACTTGTGTTGTTCCCAATCAAAAATTGCTTTTATTTTATTTTTTCATGCTCTATTATTACCAAATATTGGATTCAATCTTTTTAGCAACTTTTTTTATTTCATTTAGCACGGTTTGTATTTCTTTATGGAACTGATTGATCCTCAATGATCTTAGCTAATGCCACCTACATATTGCCAAAATTATCCACAAATAATGCTTTTTTTCCCTTCAAAAACTGAGGTGCATAAACTAGGAACACCAAATTAGGTAAAGGACTTTCAACGCAGCCCAACATAAGCAAACCTTTTTTTTTTTTTAAAGCTAAATTAAGCTATTTAATTGTGTGTATCAGTGATGTTTTACCATGTTACAGTAAATTCAAATGTGCTTCACTCTCCAGGACAGCCACTTCAGTGAGTTTGTGGACACCCTCACGGAGTACGAGACCAAGAACGTGCTCGCGACTCCCATCATGAATGGCAAGGACATGGTGGCCGTCATGATGGCGGTCAACAAGATTGGCGCTCCTCATTTCACTGCTCAGGATGAAGAGGTAGCATTCACTTGTATCATTCTCTGTGATAGCGAGTATGCTTTGGGTTTATACTCAACAATAAGTCGGAGTCTCGGTGAGGATACCAATTTGAAATGTAAACAATACCAGAAAGATTAATTATATGCATTGTGCTCCCCAAACATACTTTTAATCTCAAATCCCCAGTGAATGTAACAAGTGCAGTTTCACTGAATATTAAAGCATTCCGATTAAACCGACTTCTACAGAACAGATGAAACGCTCTGTTGGATTAAATCGAACTCTCTGTCTTGTAGACGCTGAAGAAATATCTCAACTTCGCCAATCTTGTGCTGCGAGTTTTTCACCTGAGCTACCTGCACAACTGTGAAACCAGAAGAGGACAGGTGGGATTTCTGTGAGATTGAGATTTAAGACATTGACCCGCTCCATGATCTTGTCATTTTTCTTCACATCTGCATTGCAGGTGTTGCTCTGGTCTGCCAGCAAAGTGTTTGAGGAGCTGACTGACATTGAACGACAGTTCCACAAGGCCCTCTATACAGTCCGAGCCTTCCTCAACTGCGACCGCTACTCTGTGGGCCTCCTCGACATGACCAAAACTAAAGTGACTGGTTATTTATTCATTGCATGAAATATGCAGCTGGATTTGTAGCTCAAACTATTTGTAAATTGTCTGTATTTTTATTCATTTCTCTGTAGGAGTTCTTTGATCTTTGGCCCATACTGATGGGAGAGGTGCCCCCTTACAGTGGACCAAAGACCCCTGATGGCAGAGTGAGTGATACGCCGAATAAATAGGAAATATGTGTTTGGTTAATCATGTCAGAGAAACACAAAACTGCCCTGAATGAATTCTTACATGCTGTCACATGTTTGACTTACGGTATTAATTCTGCTTCAGGAAGTGATTTTCTACAAAGTGATTGATTACATATTGCATGGAAAGGAGGACATCAAAGTCATTCCGTAAGTTAATGCATTTTATATTGCCTGTTAAATTTGAGCTTCCACTTGGCATTTAATTAAGCCCAGTATTGCCACATGCATTATCATGCATCGTTCTACATTACATGCATTGTAATTATTGTACCTTATAAACATACTGTATCAAGAAATAAGAAATCAAGCATGTCAAGCAAGAAATCAAGCATGTCTGGCTCCATGCTAAGGTGGGCCAGACAGTTCTGGGTGTTTGCAAGGGTGTGTCAAACTCATGGATGGGCTCATCTAAGCCCTCCTGTTGAGCCAGGCCTGAGCAATAATTAATTTTAAAGTACAAATTTTCATATTCCTAGCATAGAGGCACTACCATTCAGAATTTTTTTGAATGCTTCTATTCAGCAAGAATGCATTTAATTGATCAATAGTGACAGTAAAGACATTTATAATGTCACAAAATATTTATATTTCAAATAAATGCTGTTCTTATGAACTTTCTGTTCATCAAAGCATCCTGGGGAAAAAAAACACATATCACTGTTTCCACAAAATATTAAGCAGCACAACTCTGATTAACTATAACAATCGTAGTAATAATAATAAATGTTTCTTAAGCATCAAATCAGCATATTCGAATGAGATCATGTGACACTGGAGACTGGAGTAATGATGCTGAAAATTTAGTTTTGCACCACAGGAATAAACTGCATTTAAAATATATTCAAATAGAAATCAGTTATTTTAAATTGTAATATTATTTAACAGTATTACTGTTTTTACTGTAATTAATACAGCCTTGATTTGCATAAGAGACTGTGTTTTTAAAATGTACCACCTAGAAAATAAAAATGGGATTTATTAAAGAAAAGTGCTGGATTGTTCTGGTCAGACGCATATGCATTGTCGTTACAGTAACCCTCCAGCTGACCACTGGGCATTAGTAAGTGGGCTTCCCACCTACGTTGCAGAGAACGGCCTGGTGAGAGTCTAGACCTCCATTCTCCTCTCCTGACGCCACAGTAGTTGGAAGCTATTATGGTGTATAATGCTCCTGTCATGTGCACAGCAAGGGGGAATAGAATGTGCTCCCACACTGAAATGATGGAGAATTGTAATTTTGTGAACCGTAATTAATCAGCAAGCAATGCCCCTTCTCAGTGAGAGTGACTGCTGCTTTCTCTTCACTCTGTCTTACAGATCTGTAACATCATGAACGCCGCTGAAGATGAGTTCTTTGAATTTCAAGTGAGCCCACCTTTAATAATCAATTAAATTAAATTAACAGTGTTCCAAAAAGGAAAGCTGTATACCTCAGCTTTTTGTATATTTACAAAACTTCATGTATTTTGATTGAAGTTTGTTTTTATCCTGCCAGAAAGTGCCTCTGGATGAATCTGGATGGACAATAAAGAATGTACTCTCTTTGCCCATCGTAAACAAGAAAGAGGAAATCGTTGGCGTGGCCACATTCTATAACAGGAAAGATGGAAAGCCTTTTGATGACATGGACGAAACACTAATGGAGGTATTTGAGGCCACAGTATAGACCAGTAGTGTGTCATAGCTAAATATATAGTAATGGATAGATCAGCAGACTCTGCATTATGTATTTGTGAACATTTCATCACTGAGAACATTTCATAGCGTGTTTTGCTTCTTGAAAGTTTGCCGTGTTCTCAATCTATTATGCTGGGTTGGTTGGATTCAACTAAACTGCTAAGCCAAATCTCTAAAGTCTCCAAAAAGTACTTTGTACTTAAGTCTCCGTTTTATCTTAGCGCTACAGTCCACAGAGCCTTTCAGTTGAGTTCAATCATGTTCTCTGTGGAGATGTGATGCTTTTTTTTGTAGTTTTCCCATTCATTTCCATCCGATTTGACTAGCAGAGTGTTTTAATTGTCTTGTTGTTTGGTTATATTAGTCAGATTCAGACTTATATCTCAGTGTGAATCTGAAACCGGAAGTGAATCTGAACCTGAATCTCATCCTGAATGTAAATGTAATTCTAAACCCGAATCTGTATCTATTTCAGTCGCTCACTCAGTTCCTGGGCTGGTCAGTGCTGAATACAGACACGTATGACAAGATGAACAAGCTGGAAAATCGCAAGGACATCTTTCAGGACATGGTCATGTACCACGTCAAGTGCAGGAAGGATGAGATTCAGAATGTCTTGGTGGGTTTCTCCAACTTGACAGGGCTTAGTCCCTAGTGTGCACTAATTAAAATAAATTACATTACATTGGTAAAGCTGGTTATAGCAGGATATCGTATTTGTACGGTATGAAGTATATGTGGAGAAGTAGTGTTGTCATATATGATTGATTGTCTTATTAAAATGGGTTGTATGAACATAGAAGAAGAGTCTTAGAATATCAGCCTTGTAAAATTGATGTTTTTTGTTCAGAACACACGTGAGGTGTATGGGAAAGAACCTGACGAATGTGACGAGGACGAGCTGGAGGATATTCTGGTAAAATGCACAAAAAAAATCATATGGTTTGGAGTCTAGTTGTTTTCTAGATGTGCATGTTCAGCTGTGCTGTCGCTGTCTACAGTACGGCACGCTGCCAGACTCCGAGGAATCCGAGATCTTAGAGTTTCACTTCTGTGACTTTGAGTTCAGTGAGTTGGACCTGGTGAAGTGTGGCATCAAGATGTACTATGAACTGGGTGTGGTAGACAAGTTCCATATTCCACGTGAGGTGAGTGATAATGGCAGCTCACATCCTTTTGCTATATTTTGACCATATATCTAACTAGATTTTTTATATTTTCTATAGGAAATTTAAGAGGTTAGGGTTGTTCTGGGTGGATGCTTATTTGGGACATTGTTTGCTTACTCTATAAGACAAAATAGGCCACATTAATGTTCATGGGGTCCGATTCACAGATTCATTTTCTTAACTTAAAGTTAAGAATATTTTCAAATAAACATTTCTTACAATTTTCTTTCAGGATTGTTCTAAAACAAAACCTAAGAAGAATTTGAATACCTGAAAAGAATGATCTTAAAAATCATTGTAATACTGATAATACTTGGTAATAATTGATAACCTCCAACCTGTTTTACGGTAAATTGACAAGTCAAGTCAAATTTATAGCTGTTTTCACAATACGCTTTGTTTCAATGCAGCTTTGCAAAAAAAAAAAAAGCTTGAGTTTAATTCATATCTTAATCCCCCGGTTTCACAGACAAGGCTTAAACCTAATCCCAGACTAAAATCTAAATCTGAGCTGTTTCAACTGAAAGAAACTTGCTCTGACTGATCTTAAAATATATCAGTGCCTTTATTTTGTCTCAAAATGCACACCAGTAATGTTTTTTTCTAAGGCACGTTTATAAAAATTACTTAAATGTCCTAATTGAACTATGGCCTAATACTGGCTTAGTCTAAGCCCTGTCTGTGAAACCAGGCCAATATCTTCATGCCTTATCGTCACATTCAGAGCTGGGTGAAAATACAGTTTATATTTTGTGACGAAGACGATACAAGAAATCAAGCAGTTAAGAAATGCTATATAGTATATATCGCCCTATGCAAGTGTACTGTATGTATGCAGATATAGTTGGACATACTTAGATATGTAATTTTATATAAACAGCTGGACAACAATATAGTTACATTTTGCAATGAAATTAAACAAATCAGGTAGTTGAGATTAGCTATATACTATATATCCTTTTACGTGACTGTACTCTATGTATGTGGAAAAAGTTGCTTATTTTATTTTTATTTAGCCAGGACAATCCCATTGAGACTTCACAATCTCTTCTTCCAGGAAGACCTGGTCAATATAATGTATACTCTGTTTATACTATCGCTGACTGGTGTTACTTCAGTGACATTAAGATTTACGTGAATCTGGGCCTGGTCTCTAGATGGCCTGAGCCCCTCCTTCAATGATTTTTTTAATAATTTTATCATTTTCAAAATGAGATCCAATTCATGTCTACAACACAAACAGAGCAAGTCGGGATATGCACCCAAGTTTAATTTTTAAAGTTATCATCAATGATTTATGTACATTCACCCTACCAAGCACCACTATTGCTTCTACCAGTCGTCTAAAAAATATACTGTTTCAATGCACTCTTTTTAAAATATTTGTGACCCTGGACCGCAAAACCAGTCTTAAGTCGCTGGGGTATATTTGTAGCAATAGCCAAAAAAAAAAAAATTTGTATGGGTCAAAATTATCGATTTTTCTTTTATGCCAGAAATCATTAGGATATTAAGTAATGATCATGTTTCATGAAGATATTTTGTACATTTCCTACCGTAAATATATCAAAACTTAATTTTTGATTAGTAATATGCATTGCTAAGAACTTCATTTGGACAACTTTAAAGGCGATTTTCTCAGTATTTAGATTTTTTTGCACCCTCAGATTCCAGATTTTCAAATAGTTGTATCTCTGCCAAATACTGTTCTATCCTAACAAACCATACATCAATGGAAAGCGTATTTATATTTAGCTTCCAGATGATATATAAATCTCAATTTCAAAAAATTTACCCTTATGACTGGTTTTGTGGTCCAGGGTCACATTTTATTGCACATTGTACATACAATGTAAATACAATATCTGCAGTGCCTTGTAAGACTTAGCTGAAATTGATTTCTCTCTAGACCCTGGTGCGCTTTGTGTACTCAGTCAGTAAAGGTTACAGGAAGATCACCTACCACAACTGGAGGCATGGCTTCAACGTGGGCCAGACCATGTTTACACTGCTCATGGTAAGAGAAAACCCTCACAAAATGACATTTCAAATATTACAATTCTACACCCTGTTAAGGGGACCTAAAAATCTCATCTCAACCCCTCTCCGAATCTGCCCTGCCTTCAGATACAAGATCTCATCTTGCTCAGTGAAGCCCTAGCTATGAATACATTGACTGTTCTCACCCTGCAAACAAGAAAAATGAACAACCAGCCATGTTAGCCTTGCAACAGAGCCTTGCCCCCTCTGTTTGATGGGTGCAAGAATCGTGGGCCTTTTTTAGGGAATATGTTTAATGATACGGCCCATTTCCAACACATATTCTCTCACATGGCAGACGGCCCCATCTAATTATTTAGCCGAGTGTAAACCTGCTCCTGGTTAAGTCATGTGTAATCACAGCGAGCTGGCTGTACATCAGGAAGGATGGAGTGTTGGAGGGCTGGAAGAAACGCAGGCCAGGCTGCTAATGAGCCTTCCTCAGCACTACTCCCATGCTTCACTGAGCCTAATGAGCCCTCACTAGTCAGCCTCTTGCTCTACAAGAGAACCTCCACCTTGAAGCCTATTAAACCTGTTCTAATGTGTCTCAGACAGGTGACCTGAAGCGCTACTTCACTGACCTGGAGACGATGGCGATGGTGACCGCTGGGCTCTGTCATGATATTGACCACCGTGGCACTAACAACCTCTACCAGATGAAGTATGCACTCATTAAAGTCAATGTGTCACTACTCTTACCAAAGAAAAATGTGTATGCATTACAGTATTCAGAAATAAAGTGTGGAGGCATTCTCAAATTTTATATCACCCAACATCCACTACCAGGGGTATCATGCACCAATTTTTTGAGAGGGCACCACTGGGTCACATGGATTCCTATGCAGGATAACGTGACTAAAAAAAACACATTCTGCTAAATGAACGTCTGCTAAATCAATGCATTTAAATGTAATCTTTATATGGATGTAAGACAAGTTTTGTGGCACTATTTTTGTTTAGCATGCAAACAGACAGGGGTTCAAATCCAGACCTAATATGCATTTTCTTTTTAATTAACCAAGCAAAATTGCATTTTCACAGTATGCAAAAAAAGCAGCCTAGACATTTTGGAAAAAAAAATATTTTAATAAATTATCATGCCCTACTGTACAATAATCATGTAATTCAGTGGTCAAAGATACATTTCTATTTGCATTCAAAATACAGTTCAATCAAAGATCTAAGGAGCCAACATTTACATTTGGATCATGTTAAACGTATGCAAACTGGCATATCACATTGCATTATGCCTATTTGCATTCATTTTTATCGAAAGTCTGTGACCTTCTAGGTTTTAAGATTCCATTTCTGTGATGACTTTGCCAGGTCTGGGAATCCACTGGCAAAGCTGCATGGTTCCTCCATTCTCGAGAGGCACCATCTGGAGTTTGGAAAAACTCTGCTTAGAGATGAGGTAATGCTGAAAATTAATTACATTACATTTCTGGGTGTCTTTCATCATTACAATTTTGAACTCTACAGACCATTGAGAATGTGCATCTAGTTGATAAACCCATAAATAACTGCCTCCTCACTCACAGCCAGCAGTTTCCTCACTGAAATAAATTGTTTTCCCAGGCCTTAAATATCTACCAGAATCTCAACCGAAGACAGCACGAAACCGTCATCCATTTGATGGACATAGCTATCATCGCAACAGACTTGGCCTTGTATTTCAAGTGAGAATTTTATTTTTCAGCCATGTGGGATGTACTTGGCTTTAGTCTTGCAGTCAGAGCTGCATAAGCGTGATTAACATGAAATTAATAATGATGTGCCTCCACAGGAAAAGGGCCATGTTTCAAAAGATCGTGGATCAGTCCAAGACCTACGAGAGCTGGGACAGTTGGACCAAATACATGATGTACGAAACAACTCGGAAAGAGATTGTCATGTAAGTGCTGTGAGAAAATGGCCTGTTAAAAAACTAATGTCACCTATAATGGCTGTTTGCTCAATAACCTGCATTATATCCTTGCAAAAGGTAAAATGCAGCAGCTTGAATTTGGTGCCTTTCAGGGTTCATAAATATGAATTCACAGCATGGTGTTTTGGTTTTTCTCACTGCAGGGCTATGATGATGACTGCCTGTGATTTGTCAGCCATTGCCAAGCCATGGGAGATTCAGAGCAAGGTTAGATATTCCTAATGCATAATGCAGTGTCACACGCAAGGCCTGATACTACAACAATGTATTCAAACATGTAGGGCAGCCAAGGGTGTGACTGCATAGAAAAATGAAATCGCTGGCATAATGAGTCTGAAACCCCATTCATATGATAATGTATCCATGGATGGGTTGTTTACATTCATTGTTTAACACTCATTATTAAATGCGTTTCACAGTAGACGGCAATGTGATCATCTCACATGCGTGAGATTATATTCTGCCGGATGCCATGCATTTTTTTTAAATAAACATTCTTCTTTTAGATGTTTTTTTTTTTTTGGTAATGTTGTTATTATATTTACGGAAGTAGATCCAAGAACAATGATAGAGCCAAATTTTATAGTTGCAAATGTGCCAGGTCTGGCTCAGTGGGAATTGTTATGTAGCGATTTCTAAGTCATTAATGGTCTCTGATGCACAGTTAATTCATTTGAAATCTAGTTACACACAAAATCCATATTCACATCTCTCCAAATGCATCTATAAAGAGCATTAATCTAAGTTTCTTACTGACTATGTCCTCTAGGTGGCGCTCTCCGTTGCTGCTGAATTCTGGGAGCAGGGTGACCTGGAGAGGACAGTGCTGGAGCAGCAGCCTATCGTGAGAAAGTGCCTGGAATGAAGGGTGTTGGGAGGGGGGCTGAGAGAAAGGGAATAAGAATGAAAAGTTCCCATGGGTCATGTCGTGATGTACTGCCTATTATGCGGTGCAGTGAATCAGAAAGAGCGGCCACAATGGCCCAGTCAAACAGACCGATCCCAAACTCGCCATTTTCCCTAGCTGTGATTGGAAATGCAGGAATGTAATGTCAACTTTTGAAAAGTGTCTTCGAAATTTCTACATTAGGTCATGGCTCTTGCCCACCACTGAAGTGCTGAGTAGTAACTAATGCTGCGTTCAAGTCTTCCTGGGACGTTCGTACTTATGAGTTGACAAGTCGTAATAACGACGTCAGGTGTGTTCAAGTCACTTTGCTCAGAACAATATGGCGATTTTACTTTTTTTCCTTAAAATTCAACGATTTTTTAAACTTTACATCTACAAAATGATGAATAAAGAATGCGTTGAATTGTGTTTTTGCTTTTTTCTGTTTTTATTCAATTTATGAAGGTGATGTAAACGGAATCGTTATATGTTCTTTGGTAATTATACAATCATTACATGTAATCTGGATTGCGAAATCAGATTCCAATAAAATGCTCATAATCAGATTACAGTTACTTTTTATGGATTACATGATTTCAAGTTATTCACACAATGGCAGTTAATGATAAAGCAATAAGCCCTGTGAAGCCGTGGTTTACAGTGAATTTATAACAGCTAAGGGGCGTTGTTAGAAAACCCCATAAACCCCTCTTAGCTGTTATAAATTCACTGTAAACCACGGCTTCACGGGGCTTATTGCTTTTATAAAACGGTTATTCCATATACGTAGTAAGGTTTCACAGAATAAAACAGAGCAAATAAAGTGTAATGATATAAAAACCGTATTCTTCCACCAAACAATGTAGTTCCTCAGAAACAGTTGTGGTTCCTACAAAGTGGTTTCCGAGCAACACACAGAAGTAAACAAAGGTGTATGTTTGTAGAGTAATTTACAACAGCTTCGAACGCGGCTCAGCCAATCAGAATCAAGGACCGGAACTATCCGTTTTTAAACCCTGGAGTAATGTAATGTTTGATGGATTTCATGATGTTGATAACAAAGAATGGAATATAATTTTACTTCTTTTTGCTTTTTATCAATAATCCCACTCAAATCTATAGACATGTTAGGTCAAAAGTAATCTAAAAGTAGTCAGAATACATTACTTAAAATTAGTAATCTAGATTACATTAGTGACTACAACTTTTATCATGTAATTTGTAATCGGACTACAATTTGTAAGTAATCTACGCAGCCCTGGCAATCGGTAGGTTGTGGGGTTTCATTTTGATACTGAATTAAGTACATGCTGTTTCTTTTCCAGCCCATGATGGACCGGAACAAAGCTGAAGAACTTCCCAAACTGCAGTGTGGTTTTATTGATTTCGTCTGTTCTTTCGTTTACAAGGTGAGGTCCTCCATTTCGATTAGTAAACAAAACGACATATGGGACTTCATTGATCTACACCTCTAAATGTTCACAGGATCCAGACGAGAGTCCATCAGGAAGCAGATACATAATCATCAGCATAAATGCACAATGCTGGTCTTGATCAGATGTCTGTATACTTGAGTTTTATTGACTGTGAACGTCAGAATGCAGGCCTGCTGGAATTAGAGAATTTGATGTGAAGAAGAGTCACACAAGTAGGGCTGGGTGGGAAACTGATTCACACAGGATTCTATTTTATACCAATTCAAATCATTCACAAATGTCAAAACTTGATTTTCTGAATGTTAGTTAAGAATGTAATGTTGTTGTGCAAAGTTGTAGAAAATGCATATTGCTCCAAATCAAACAAAAACACGTCTTGAGAGTGCATTGTTTCACTGCCTAATAGAATACAGTTCGAATGTCAATGAAAATAGTTTCAAGCAAAGCCAGAGCAGAACAGCAGACAGTCTCTTGCTTAGATTCAGAGTGAATCGAATAAGCGATTCAGAGATTCAATCATTAAGACAGGGATTTGCTCTGCCACCTACTGGTGGTTTTAGTTTCATATTTAAAGTATAATTTTATCTTTTAAATCATTTCATATTTTAATAACCAAAATGTTATTTTTAAAACATTCATCTCATAGTATTGTTTATGCAGTTGTGATCGCAGTGTAAATGCATTCATGCCACCTCTGAGCTGCATTAAATACTCTTTGTAAATATATCTAAATGCCACTTCAGATGTAACATCTGTGCCACCTCTGCAGTATCTAAAGATACTGATTATATTTGATTGGAAACAGCCCTGTAGTGTCTTGATATTCTAATTTAACTTAATCATTAAATGTAATAATTTGAATAATTATGCACTTAATAAGCCATCAAATGCTATCATCCAGAAATGAATGACGAAGAACAAAAACCTCCAGTCATACTATGGACTAACTATCCATATCATAAATATTTTAAATTAAAATGCAATATTACAACATCTAGTGTGTCCTAGAAGATTCTTATTTACTCGCCTACGATACTCCCTCTTTACTCACGCCTCATCCTTCTTGCAGGAGTTCTCTCGCTTCCACGTAGAGATCACGCCCATGCTAGAGCGTCTGCTGAACAACAGGAAGGAGTGGAACGCTCTGAAGGAAATTCATGAGGCCAAGGTAGCCAAGCTGGAGGAGGCCAAAAAAGCTAAAGAGGAAGTAAACGCTGCAGCCTCAGCTGGCAAACAAGGTAGATAGTGACTCAAATGGTGTCTCGCTGTCTCATAAAGAAATAGTTCACCCTAAAATGTGGAACACAAATGATGTTTTGAAGAATGTTTATGCTGCTCTTTTACATAAAGTGGCCGCATAATGAAACAATAGAATCATAAAAGTCCATGTCTACTGAGGAGGACAAGATTCTCAGGAAATAACACAATACAGGAAATAACAGCCATACAAGTTTTTCTTCATCAGAACAGATTTGGAGAAATGTAGCATCGCATCACTTGCTCACCAATGGATCCTCTGCAGTGAATGGGTGCCGTCAGAATGAGAGTCCAAACAGCTGATAAAAACATCACAGTAATCCACACCACTCCAGTTCATCAGTTAATGTCTTGTGAAGTGAAAAGCTGCGTGTTTGTTGAACTGCTGCTTCTGGCTAAAATATGAGTCTTCTATCCATGGTATTGTTTTATCCAGTGAAAAAGTTGTTTCTTCTAAATCAGGAGAGAAATATGCACAGATCAAGCACCATTTACAAACAAAAACAGTATAAACAAATATGTCAGAGTATTTTGATGTGAGAGAACAACAGGAAATTGACTTTTTCACTGGAGGAAGCGTTACTATGGATTATTTTGGCCAGAAACAAAAGTTTAAAGTTAAAATGCCTTTATTATGCATTTGTTTCTTACAAACACGCAGCTTTTCACTTCACAAGATGTTAAATGATCGACTGCTTTTATCAGCTGTGTGGACTCTCATTCAAAGACAATGTACATTTGACACATTCTGTTTGCACAAATTAATTAGTCAAATAGTGAAAGGTTTGTTAATGTATGTTAATGCAGTCTTCTTACCAGTGTTATTCCTACCAGTGTGAAATTTCCACATGCTCTCAATTGACCTGTATGTCAACAGAGCTCAGTCACTGCCGTACCCATCCCACAGTCAATGCATCCAAAACAAACAGCCTCTCAGGGTGCAATCAAAAACACATACCGTGATCTCGACACCTTACTGTCTTACTTGAGTATGCACAACTTGCATATGCTTGTGTCGCCTCTTTGGGCCCCACAGGTAGTTTTAGCAGTGGTAGCAGTGGGGCCTCCATATAGAGAATCTGTGATGTTAAGAAAGATCCTACTCGTGTGTGCCATCTGGAGAGGAAGGGAACGCAAAAAAGAAAAACAAATGTCTAGTGTTATAAGGGGCTCTGAGAAAACAGTCTGGCCACAGAAAAAGAGAGAGAAAAAAGAGAAAAGAAAACAGTAACGTTTCTTTATTTGAATTCACACTTCCCATTGTGATATGCGTAACAATTTTTGCAAAATGAAAATTCAACATAATTGCTATTTGGCATTTCCTACATTAGTATTAATATTTTATTTAAATATAAAACTGAATGTGTTATGTTTTGCAAAAGTATAAAGTGAAATGCATAACAAACCGAGGAGATATGCTTAATATGTGAATGCAAAATGCATAATTTAATAAAAAAAAGTAAAAATGCATAAATTAATTTGAGCAAAATAACCATTTAAATGTTGCTTACCATATATGCTTCCTCATTAATCATTTTAAATAAAGCACTGAGCACTTACAGTAAATATGCTATTTTGTTTTTTTGCTTTCATTGTTGGATATCTTTAGCATTTTAAATTTGCTTCATGATTCATATTTCGTATTAATTTCTAATATCCATCAAAAGATCTGCACACACTTTTTCTGAAGGACTGTTAACAGTTTCATACTTCATTATTTAATGCCCATCATCTGTCATCTACATCTTGGATGGCTTGAGGGTGAGTACATTTTCAGCAAAATTGCTAAATTTTTTGGATAACATATGCACATATTAAACTTGCACAAAGTTATTGTATGACTTCATATGGACTACTTTTGTGGCACCTTTTTTTCATTATTAGCTTTTTTGTCCTTTTGCCTACTAAAAAGAGGAGCATGAACATTTTTCAAAATTTCACCTTTTGTATTTCACAAAAAAAAAAAAAAAAAAAACTCCTATGGTTTTGGAACAATTTTTGTGAAGAACTTTCTAAACAATAAATAAAGATTGTTTTTTAATTTATGAACTGTTCGATTAAGGATGCATTTTACAAACAATTGACATGTCATTTATTCTTTTCCATAACCAAATTCTCTTTCCTCACAGGAAACGCAGTCCAGCCCACATCTCAGTCCAAGACCTGTGTCATCTTCTAGACGTCAAACTGCATACAAACAGATCATGAGAATGTATGACAACGGACTGCTTTTATTATTTCTCTCCACAGGATGTCCTGTTACAATTTACACTAGTCACGAGTTTATAGGTAAAGAAAACCTTTTAGTGTAAGTAACCGACTATCTCGGTGGTGACATCAGGTTTTGTAAAGTTATACTGTAGTGACTGTCTGAAAATGTACAGAATAGAGCATTCTTACATACTAAATAAATATACATGAGAGTATAGTGTGAATACAGTTGGAAAGTCCACATTACGTGTTTTCAATATGTATATGTAGAAATAAATATCAAATGAGGAATTTCTGAGCTTAACATTGTCATTTTTTTAAAGCTTTTGTAACCGTGTTGCTGTGCAAAATAAGATTTCTGCCCCTAGGATGCAGTGCGCGTGGTTGCACGTGTGTGTATGCTAGTGCTATCTGTCCCACTGGGACATACGTAACAGTCTTACAAAAGCATTGGATAACACCTAGGGGGCGTTGGCCTTATCGACTCAGAAGGAAGAGAGCCGATTGGCAGGACAGCAAAAAGAGGCGGGCTCAATGCTAGCATTTACGTCATGTCACAGACGCAGTCACTGCACGTCAATGGCTATGATGTCACGTCTTCTGCTACATTTACCTCACTCTTACAGCAAAGAGGTGGAGTCGAGAAAATCTGCAACCACTGCAAAAGCCAAAATAAGCTCTGACGTGACAGCAAATACACACACCTACTCAGATAGATGTGCATCCCTCTCTCACACACACACAGTGCCGTAGGGAATGATTATTCTGACATCTGAATCACAAACCAGCAGAGCGGCAAATTGCCACCAGCTCTCCGAATGGCTGCGGTAACAGTGCTCTCATTCAGCATGTTCTGCTACATACCCTCAGTGAAAGGAACCGCCACAATTAGCTTCACCATCTAAAAATGTATGCACTCTCCATGGATACAACACAGAATGCCATTTGCCATTGGCTGCCATTTCAATGCGGCAACCAATCAGGGTTTCCGGCTGAACTATTCTGTTTATGCAATGTGGAATGTCATTTGGAACAAGTGGAAAAAAAAGTGACGGACCTAATGCTGCTGGGTTTTTCAAAATCCTCTTTCTCAAGCTGCTATTCAGCACTTGCTCCAAGAATAGCGTTGAATTCTGTGGACGGTATTATTGCGGTTTACTGCAGCATTTATTTGGCATAAATAATATAGTAATGCAGTACACATGAATCACAAAGTTGAATGTTGTTCATTATGGATTTTATTTTTTGGAGGCAAAACAATGAATATGTACTTCTTTTTTTTACAGTATATGAGGAGCAGTTTCTACAGTTTAATAATGTAAACGATCTCGGAAATGTGTTCAGTTCAAAAAGGAAGCCATCATCTGCTTTTTAAAAATATTTACAGGAATTAAAATATAATTTATGACATCAGATAATTTCCACTATATAGATTTGATCTAGGAAACTAGATTTTAACAATTTAAAAAATACTGAAATGCATTTGTCTCCACATTGTCAAGATGTATGAAAATCGCACAATACCGAGAAAAAAAAAATTGAAAATAAAACCAAAACCATTTCAAGACTTCCAATCTAAGTGGCATATAAATAAAAATTAAAACAACTCAAAACATATGTAAAAAATATAAAATCTTACTAGCAGTATTTACCGAAAACTACGTTAAAAAAGGAAAATCATAGCAAATTTGATAGTCATTAGATGTAAATAGTCCAAAAAAAACAAGAAAAATGTATGCCCTTTGACCCAAATTTAGTTTCCACAAAAAAAAATGTCTTGAAGCAGCAAAACGATGCAACATGGATGTATGATCCATTAACTGATGCTCTGACACCGTAATGACACAAATGCTAGATCCACGGTTTAGCGCAGACAACATAAACTTTCCCCGAATATAATCACTGCTGATTCAAGAGGAAAATTCTCTCATTTTAACAATTTTAAAAATACTGAAATGCATTTGTCTCCACATTCTCAAGATGTATGAAAATCGCACAATACCGAGAAAAAAAAAATTGAAAATAAAACCAATACCATTTCAAGACTTCCAATCTAAGTGGCATATAAATAAAAATTAAAACAACTCAAAACATATGTAAAAAATATAAAATCTTACTAGCAGTATTTACCGAAAACTACGTTAAAAAAGGAAAATCATAGCAAATTTGATAGTCATTAGATGTAAATAGTCCAAAAAAAACAAGAAAAATGTATGCCCTTTGACCCAAATTTAGTTTCCACAAAAAAAAATGTCTTGAAGCAGCAAAACGATGCAACATGGATGTATGATCCATTAACTGATGCTCTGACACCGTAATGACACAAATGCTAGATCCACGGTTTAGCGCAGACAACATAAACTTTCCCCGAATATAATCACTGCTGATTCAAGAGGAAAATTCTCTCCTATCTTGCAAGAGCATGTACTTTGTGAACGACAAATTGCCAGGCCATAGATGTAGTGAATTAAGTGACATTTTGTATGAACTAATAAAAAACAGGAAGAAATCACATGCGCTCCCGCTTTCTCTCTCTCACACGCGCATACACACACACACACACACACACACATGTCTGGTTTGCTATCCTTGTGGGGACTCTCCATAGGCGTAATGGTTTTTCTACTGTACAGACCGTATTTTCTATTGCCCTACACCAACCCTACCCCTAAACCTACCCCTTACAGAAAACTTTGTGCATTTTTAGATGTTCAAAAAACGTAATTCTGTGTGATTTATTAGCTTGTTTACCCGTGGGGACCTCAATTTAGGTCCCCGTGACATGAGTCCCCATGAGACTGTGTATTCAGGTGTAAGTCCCCACCAGAATAGAAAAACAGGTACACACACACACACACACACACAGAGGGCCAAGTCAAACGATCATGACATTCTTGAAATGGATTTGATGTGATACTACACTTCTCCTGTATCCAAACATCAGATGTACTTTTTGGTCAACTTGTCTAGCGACTGCTAAAATGAGGGCTGGAAACATGTATTGCATTGAAGAAGATTCCCTTTGGAAGTTTTTTAAAATTATTTTTAATTTGAATCTGTACATTCTAGATTGACAGTGTTGAAATGTATTGAAGAGTTCTGAAACACTGAATAAAATGGTCTATAACAAATTATATCATCTATATATTTATCTACACAAACACAAATATATATATATATGTATTTATATAATCATATATATGTATATACCTTTTATAATATGGCTGTATTGAAAAAGCTTACTTAGTGAAGAAAACACATTGGATTGTACAGGAGATCAGATAGGACTGATAGCTTTATTTTCCTCTAAGGTTTAAGGCTCTCCCTGTGAGACTGGGCTGTCTGTGTATTTTCCTAACAAAAAAAGTCCTTCTAGGCCAGCGATTCTAAACGTCGACCTTCTTTTCGAACGATCTGCGCCGTCTACAACATACAGTACAGGATTCGATTACCCTTAATACAACCAATCTCTTCAATAAAGCCTTCCGTTATAAGAAAAGCTTTCTTAGATCTCTCAGCGGTATTGCATCTCAATTGCATAAAAAAAGAAAAACGTTTAATCTTAAAGTCATTAAAAAGAACCATTTCTAAAGGGACACTTTATACAACTGTGTTTGACTTATGAAGCCATATCAATTAAAAATTCCCTTCTGGATCTCCCTGTATTGCTTAATGCTGCATCATCGGGCTCACCAACAACCAATCAGAGCCACCCTTTAAAACCACACGTTACCACATCGCTGTACAGCACATATCCATACATCTCATGTTTACACAAGACACAGTGCTATATACAAATTATATACTTCTCCATATATATATATATAATCATGTAAACCAGCACATCTCTTGCTTATTTAGTAGTATACATACTAAGCACAAACACTCATTCAGTTTGTTTTCTGAAGATCTTATAGGGCAAATTGGACAAAAGTGGCTGTAATATTCAGAGGCCGTGTCCAAGTAACAGCTCAGTACCGTAAAGGGGAAAGCCGAAAGGCACATCCTAATAGGGTACTTAAATACTGAATAAGGCGTTCTGTACTTAGTGTGCGCTCTAGTAAAAGTCGAAAGAGAATTCAGTCATGTAAACATTCAGGTTTGGGGTGTGTTTCTGGCTAAAGGGGAGAGTTAGGGAGTAAAGAGAGGCTGATGGCTCTCCCTAAACCAGCACACACACACACACATGCTCACAACTGCACTAGATCCACAGGCCGAAGGTTCGAGGAGACCCCCACAGAATAAAAGCAACAGGTCCCAGCATATAATAAGGGACGGAGCCATCCCTAGACCCCGTAAAAGACACGAACGACACGCAGTTATACACTGGTACACGTTTAGACTTCAAAAAACACACACAAAGGACAAAGAGAGAAGTAGCCACAAGGTAAGAGCTAGAAAAAACCCGCAGATCTTCCCCTGTCAGAAAGGAGAGAGTAAAAAAAAGAGTGTTTGAGCTTATAGAGAGAAAGAGTATGAGAGAGTGACATTTAAACAAAGCAGAGATACGACCGTATCTCTAATGAGATTGAGCTCTGGAAAGATCTTCCTCCTAGTTTACCGCCACCATTCTCTCAGCAAAAGACTGGATGTCTGGTAGGGCTATGCTACTGGGAGAGTCTAAACGCTCAACTGTACTTTCGAATCTAGACCAATAGGATGGGCATTACAATCGCGTGTTTTGTGACAGGTACATTCTTGAAAACCGTTTCCGACAGATTGGGATTCTAAACCAGATTGGGTCACGTTCCGACAAGTAAAACAGTAACAGCAACTGGTGAATTAAAGATGAAGTGTGTAGCTCTGCACCAAATATAATGACTGTTTTCAAACAGGTTTCCAATCGGTCAGTCAAACAGAAAGCTCCGCCCCTAATGTGTCAGGCTGCTCAAACAAAATGTTTTGATACTCTTTTTAGGATTTGTGTTTACTTGAACAGTTTTTGATTGGGATTGGAGTATTTTAATGTCAAAAAAATGACAC